TTATATATAAATTTATTTAGCAAAAGTAAGAATTTTGTATATACCGTGAGGGGCTATCAGAGCTTTATATTATTTGAATGATTACATAATTCATTTAATTACATTCTCATTAGCGGACGTTAACTAGCTAAGCTCTGATAGCCCCTCACGATACATACAAAACTCTTACTTTTGTTAAATAAATTTTAAATCTATATTTATAAGAAGAATTTATCATCATTATTTTCGGTGTAAATGACGAAAAATAAGGAATTTATAAAGTAACTTGGAAACTAAAAGAGAATGATTATACTGACTGTGCATGCCTGGTATATAAGTACTGAAATATGTAAGAATTTCTATTGCTCAACGTTAAAAAAAGTAAAATTTATGAACAAGAAATTAAACTCTCTCGATTGTGGACTGTTCGATGTTGCGAGGATATCGATGAGTATTGCTTTTGCCAATTGAATAATTTTAAGGCATCATTTCGCCGTCCGGCGTGACAAATTAATGCAACAAAATCTTTAGAAGTATCCGGAAATAAGGTAAATTACATCGATTGTCATTCAAATGATAGTAATGCCTGTGCAAGTCCGTATTGTTCATAATCGGTCCTTCAAATAATCGATGCGCGACGGCGAATTATTCAAATTCAGCGGGGAGTTGCGTAATCATAAGATATCGCATAGAGTCGGAAAAATCGCGACACGATCAGCCAATAATAAGCTAGTCGGCAGTGAGGAAAAATTCAAATGAAAGTTGCCATACACAACATAACTTGTTAGCTAAAAATCTCGTGTACGAGGTGAACGGGCCTCCCTTTTTAACGAATCCGCAACCGAACCGATAACGCTCCGACAATTTACATCAATTGATATGTAGGCATCGATAATTTGTTCGAACGAGAACTAGGAACGAAGACGGGAATGACAAGTTGAGTGAAAGCTATCCTTTGTCCATTTCCGCGAGCATGCTCAAGTATTTTGCATAATCACTTCTAACTATTGCAATAATTATCACGCTTTCCTCCGCTAATGAAAATGCCATACCAGAATACAATCAGTAGCTACAACCGTAGCGTTAAAATGTCATGACGAATTGAAGATATGTCTAAAATCAACGCTGCTGACATGAGACAGTTACAGTAGAAATATGATAAGAATGTAGAAAATATGATTTCACGAAATCGCCGACAAAATGCTATAGAAAATATTTCTCGAAAGACACGTGAGAGTTGAAACTCTTCATTTGATAATATAATTATCTTAATATAGTTAACATTATATTCATTGTGAGTCCCAAGAGGGGTTTTCCTTTCTATGTCAAAGAAATCAGACGAACTTAACGATATTCCCGCGCTATTCAAGCAATGGTGAAATAGCAACGTGAAAGCAGAATGGCGTGGCCTAGACGAGACTGGGATTCATTGAAATCCTCCTTTCTTCCCTTTCTCGCTAATCTCGAATGACGCTAATTGTGCATAAATGATATGTACCGTCACGAGAGGGGATTCACATGTTGCATTTTCAAATCTCGCAGAAACTTTCGTAGAAAAACACATTCTCTTAAGTTGAGTATCCCTATATTTTACAGACAAAAAATTAATATTTCTCTTTCAAAATTCTTTAAAATATTTCGTCAAAATTCTATTAAGATTGCGATTAGTGAGAAAACTTGACTGAATCTCCTTTCTCTCGTGATTTTACATCTAGGGATGTTTGTCAATCACGATGGTTCTTAATAGTAGTTTCAATAATAATGCAATAGAATTTTGTGTTACTCGATTTGTCATGAATTACAAAGTTACTTAGTTTACGTAGAACAATAAAATGACACCGTTCTAACGAACGTACATCATCTATCTTGCGCGTTCTTTCGAGAGAATTGTTCAGAACGCATGGGTGTTCACCAAGGTTGAATCGAGACTTGCATCAGCGATGTACGTCACGCTCGTACGATTATCTGTTGGTAATCGAGGAAAAACGTAGGCAGTGGAATTTCAGAAATAACATGACGTTGCTGTTGACAGACGCAACGCGAACGTGTTTCTGCTTTCTGTATAACAAAGGCACATATCCGTATAAATCAATCGCTTTAAGAGCGATAAAACTTCGACTACATTTCCCATAAATGTAAATTTGATATTTTTTAGATTTTTTCCATTGCTACAGAACAAAGTAAAGTTTATATTTCTTAATAAAAAAATAAGCGTTTTATTATAAAAATTATAGTAATAATATACCGTCGCTAATGTTTGATAATCTAATCGATGTTTTGAAATTGATTTTCCTTCAGCGAAAACAATTCTGATTTCAACAATCTTTTAATACAATTAAGGAATTAAAACGTGCACATCATAAACTGGTTAATCTTTCAAAATAAGTTGAACAAATAGAAACACTGAAAAAGAACGCTAATTTTTAATAAATATTTGTAAATTTAACATATATATATATATTTATTTGATACAAGAATCTTTAATTCTTTTAGATCTGACTTTAATGGAACCATGTTAAAAAAAACTATTTTCAAGTTCAAGTTAAGAGCACTTTAACATAAATAATTCATACCACAATATTAATTTCTTTGAAAATCTTGACTATTTTTCCAACATTATTATATACATCTGATTTCAGATAATATCGATAGAAAAAATAATTTAAATAGATAATGTCTTCAAATTTACAGTCGTGGTCGGTTGATGTATAGTCAGAACGGTTTGCAACACTTTTTTTTTCAATGAGATTTGGAATGTAACCTGTTCAAGCAATTGGTTCTTATTTATAGATCCATAAATAAAATCCATAATAGATCCATAAGATCTATAAATTTTAATAAAGATCCATAAATTTTAAAATCCATAAGATCCATAAATTTTAATAAAGATTTGTTTGAATAGTACTAACTTATCATTTATGATAGATAAATGTTTGATAAATAAAAAAAAATGATAGTTGAATCAAATTAACCCCTTTAAATCTTGTATACATTACAATTAACATTTAAAAGGTTAATTTGATTCAACTATCATTTTTACATTGTAATGTATACAAGATTTAAAGGGGTTAATTTGATTCAACTATCATTTTTTTTTATTTCAAACATTTATTATCTATCGTGATAATGATAAAATGATAAGTTAGTACTATTCAAACAAATCTTTATTAAAATTTAATACATTTTTCTATCAGGTGGAAACAGCTCTGTGCGGGGAACACACTGTTGTGTGTACCGTGTAGAACTGTTGATATTGTTTATGAAAACGACTGGGAGAAACGTTGAAAGAAACGCTTTCGCGAAATAGTGATACCTTTTATCAGCAATCGGCAGACAACGAATCGAGCGAAATGCCTCGTGGGAAGTGACTCATGTACACAAAAAGAAAAAGCACGCGTTTTCGACTCGCGGAAATGTTTCTTTCCGTCGTCGACGCGACGATCGCGATTCATGCGTTAAGATTTCCCGCGTATAGCGCGATGTATCATTATACTTTCTACCAGACGTTGAATCGGGAAATCGAAGAAGAACTTTCTAGAAAATAGATCGTAACGATTCAAGCCGGCATTGATATCTGCTCGCCGAGGACGAGTCCCGCCGGATCGGTGTGAAACTATCAACCATGAAGAACCGCCGCCGATGGAGGCGAAACCGACGCACACCTACTATATGATCTGAAATTCCATTAAATTTCGAGGACGATATGTACGAAGTCGAACGAAATCGAACTAAGAAAGCACGGTACAACTTGCTTGTCGACACGCACGAATAAACGCTCTCTATATGGATTCTTGTGATCTTCATGGGCGGGCTCTTCGAGGAATATCGATGTCTCGAAGTGATGTGAAATAAAATGAGTCGTTTTCTCTACTCGTAATTTCATCCATCGGCAATTTCTTATTTATAATTGCGAAACTCACGAAATTTGAGCATCAATCGCGCTATGATTTATTATATAGATTTTTATATCATTAATTCATTTTAATATCGTTCATTTTCAGCCCCATGGATTTTTATAATTAAGTCTTAAAATAGTTTCGCGTGAATCAATTAATTAGGATTTAGAATAAATTCTGAGAAGGTAAAGCCATCTCTTTCGCTAAAAACGCGAGAGGGAGAGATTCTGACAGATGTTCTATCACAAGAACGCGGTATTCTTACTTTCTAACGATAATAACATTTTCGCGAAAGGAAGAGCGTGTATATACTTCATCTGCATTCGCAAACACACGTCCGGTAGCTCTCTCCGTCAAGGCGAATTATTCGTCGCGACTTTGTTCTTGCTCTTTCACTTCATCATCGTTAATAATGCATTTTGTATAACTTTTGTTGAATATTAAAACTCAACACTTGACGCTCAAGGAATTTTTTTCTTTCTGTTATAGCAATACGCGAGCAAGCATGCCGAGCAAAGCCATTTGGTGGAACAAATGAACATGAAATATTATTATTTCACAAGGACTCAAGGTCTATTTAGGATATGCTATCCTAAAGAGAGACCACCAACGGGTAAGAATTCTCAAGCAGAGTTGATCATTTAATAATTAATCATCATGCATGCTTTAATAAAAGTTGTGAAGAACTTGGCGTGAATAGATCCTGAATAGATTTAGAGACGATTTACAGTTCAATAATTATTTCGATAAATGTTATTTTTTATTTGACGAATATTTTCTTTTAATCAAGCATTCAATTATTTACTATTAAGATCAATATCACTTTGTGCACTTTACCATTCCATATTGGTGATTGCGGAAAAATTTTAAAATTGCTTATAACATGCAATTATTTACATTATTATTTTTATAGTACATTGTCAGCAGACAGGCTATATAATTACGTCAAATAATGAAAATTGCAAAGAATTGGACTGGTGTCCAATTCTCTGTCTGATCGGTATCCGTAATAATTGTATAAGGATCGACAAATTCTTCCGAGTTCCTCGTTCAACGACACCCCTTACGCGGCCTTTAGGAAACTTTCTACGTTATGATCTCGTAATGTCGTAGGTTATCCGATTCGACGTAATAGGTTAACAGTTTATAATCAGTCGCACAGACGCGCACAATCTTTAGAGAAAGGTACATTTTCACCCGTTAGCTCCGTCGCAATGTATCTCACAGCGCTTTCTCATTCTAGGATTCATCATCGCACATAGCCAAGTGTTATATTTTCGTATAAAAAATATCAATGAATCATAAAATCCTAGCAGACGAGAATGGATTAAAATGGATTGAAATTTTTTCCATCCGAATGCGTATTTTAAATAGCGAATACTTTTTTTTGAATTTAATTGGATTCAATTGAAAAACTGCATTTCCTATTCAAAATTTTGAATTGAACACAGTATTCGCAATTGTGTTGTTTTGCATAGAAAAAGCTAATATTATTTTTTAATTGAAAGGCATAGAGATATGTTCCATGCAATTCTTATAAATGAATAAAAATACATTCAGAATTGAAAAGCATTCATTTTAACATTCGTGAATTAATATAATATTTCTGAAAAATCTGAATCCATTTCAATTCATTTCGTTTGCTGGGATACCAACGCTTTCTTTCTTGTTTATTGAAATGCAATTCTAAGAAAAATCTAAGAAAAAAATACAGATATTAAAGTCTGTTCTACTTCTAATGTGCTTTTTGTTCCCTGTTTCTTGCTTTTTGCTATTATTTACATTTGTTTTTTTGCTTTTCATCCGGTTTTTTTGTTTTATATCGCCCGAGATTAAAACGAACAAAACAAGAAATATAATATGTAGCAAGAATACAATTGTCGATAAAATGGTTGCAAAGAAAAAAAAAAAACAAAAATAGGAAATAAAGAGCACATTGTACATTAGGCTTAAAGCATTCGCTTGCTTTTAAGTTAAATCTTTACAAAAATCTAACACTAATCAGTTTAATACTAAAAGACAATTGATTAGTTTGTTATTTATTTTAAATATTAAAAGCATTGTTGTTCAGTGTCTTTTAGTATTCCAAATTAGTAGTAATTAATTATTGTTTTTCAGTAATAAATTTCAGTATTAGATTTCTGTAAACAATAAAATCTTATAGTGAAAACTCTTAAATAAATTCCTAATTGTAGCGAAATATTAAAAAAAATTTATCTTAACTGTAAAAATCCAGGGGATTAAAATATTTTATAAATTGTACGCAAAATTATCGAATGAACTTATGATGAACAGAAACACACAAAATAAAGTCGATTCGCCACGAAGCAACGCATCCGGTATATCCGCTAGCTGTTTTATTTTGTTTTTCAACAAATCAATAAAAATGATCATGTCATCACGGTTTTTCAGACACTATTTCGAAGGAAATAATAACGGAAATATGGAATTCTATCTTCGAATCAAATTGCGCGAAGTTTTTACATTGGTATCGACCGCGAGAATCCTTGTCTTCAATTATTTAATGGACGATAAGATTTGCCGGATTCGAGGATTCTGGTGGTCTTTTTTCTTTCAGAGCGCATATCGTAAGTGGACCGTTGCGATCACAGTTGTTGCGAAACAGCCGACATGCCAATCGATCGCGTGTTAATGCTTTGAAAACACAAGCTGCATGTAAGCTTCGGTTGACTGTGAGAACAAAGAGAATAAAGTTTCATTGAAAAATTTTGCCAGATATAAATGCAAATTTATTTTTGTAGTATTTTAAAAAAATTCTCTTTTCCTAAAATGTAGAGATTAATTTTTAAAGTTTATATAAGATAAAAGTTTAAATATTTTGAAGTTATAAGAGAAAGGACATGGTAGAATTCGATAAGCGTCGATTTTAAAAAGAAGGTACAATTAAATTAGAGTCTTGTCTTGAACAACAAATTTAAGGTATTTAAACCCGGAATAAAAGCACGCATGTTACGCACAAGGATGTGATCAAATCTTACTCCCCATGCGTAACTTCGCATCGTGTATAACGCTCTATGGCTTGGAACGCCTTTCCAATTAGAAACTTTCTACGGTAATGACGCATGGTATTTATATGTCGTACAGTAATGTTCAGCGAGGTATCACGTATTTTTAAGATAATAAACGAAGAAACTCGACAATGTTTGTCTTTGTAGATAATTAAACTAATTAAGAATGAGATACGTAACTGCAATGATACATAAACGCAGTCATACGTAATCAAACGCGATGATATATAATTTTAAATTATAACAGAGAATGTAATTAAATCCGTAATCAAGGTAATTAACCCGATATATATTATAATCATAATCTCGTATAATGATTCTGATGTTCATCGTTTCATTCAAGAAATATGTGCCGATTAAATGAATTTTGATACAAATCTAGGTCACAAAATATAAATTAAGATATTAAGGCTGTCCAATCAAATTGGTTGGTCTAAGCATCAGTTCCTTCGATAATTATTAGATTTAATAATTGTTATTCAACATTATTAAGATCGTTTCGATGATGCGAATAAGCATCAAAAATTTATTAAATTGCTAACAAATTTAATTCGTGATATTATTGCGATAGTAGATTAGTAGAGTTAGCATCAAGTTTTCAAGACCGAAAAATCATTTTGGCGCGCGTTTCTGAGGACTACATACGTAATATATAAATTCACATAAGAATCATACAAGCATTTAAAATCCAGTTAGAGCGTTTAAGGCTTTGATTTCTATAGTTTGTGTTATCACATATACAGTCCTATAATATATTATATTGTTAGATTTAATCATTCTTTTATCTATTAAATTTTGTCTCTAAGAAAAGAAAGACAATTAAATTAACAATTAAAATAAATCGGTATTGAAAAAATCAATTTTAATCCTAAAATTTCTATAATTGATATACTATATAAGTAATGTTTCAGATTAGAAACCTATCGCGTTATATTCTGGAATGCATATACACGAGGATCCTAAAAATGGATTAGAATAATATATCAATATATACGATGAAAATTTTTTTTACGCCATACGAATCGACTTTTATATATCTCGATGATCGTGCAATGTTCATTCCATGACGTAATAATAATCTGAAATTACTATGCAAGCATTAGTGTCATAAGGACGTGCATTGCATACGATCGAATTGTGCTGCAAGCGCAGATCGGTTTTACTAAACGACAAAAATATCATGTGATAAATATGTAAATGGTCTTCTGTGTCTACGTGTCGTGTTATGCAAGGAATGTAAAGTAGAAGATGTAACGTAATAAGACCTAACTTTAGATTATACTCTAATAAAAAAAGAATATACAATCATGAATGCAAAACAGCACACTTTGCTCTTCAGTTCCAGAAGTTGTGCAAGTCGTCTTAGATAATGTCTATTTTTAGAACCACACATATTCTAGGATTAGCTTTTGAAACCTCTTGTATTATATTGAATAGTCTGATAAAGCATGCAATTATTATCCGCGAAATTGAGATTTCGGATTAGATTTTTGAAAACGTCAAGCGAGTGAAGTTTCGATTCTCAACACGTTTCGAATCTCAATATGGCGAGCCAGAAGTTAAAAGAAGAAGAAAAAAAAGAGAAAGATACACGTGCGAATATACTTTTCATACAAGTCCAGTACAGTCCGCGGTACAGGTGATTCCAGTTCTTCCGGAAGTTTCAGGTTGCGCATTCTTCGAACGGGAAGGGAAAAACGCGTTGCGCGCTACGAAGTGAAAACGTACCTTATGGCTAGCCGTGTTAGATGCGGGCATACCATACATTAGGGAGCTCATATAAAATCCATTGTTGTTCGCACAATAGCGAATCATCGTAGGGAGGAAGCGGTGCTTAGTGTTCAGTAAAATTCCGAGGCGAACGCGAGGAAAGTGTGTCGATGTCACATGTTACGATCGAGATTTCTCTAGATAGGATTGATTAAAAAATTGAATAAAGTACCCATTGAGATTAGATGGTACGCTTGAATAAGACTTGTATGTAAAATGAAAATTAATCCAGAGTGGCACATAAAATATCGTACTATTTTATTATTTCATTAAAACTATATTTGTGGAATATCGGTTTTTAAATTGTGTAAGAGCATTTCTAGCTGTTCTAACATTCACTGCTAATGCTGAAAATTAATTTACGTTAGGCTAAGTCACGACCTTGCTTTAAGAAGTCGTAAGCTGTAAGTTCTAAGTTATAAATGACGATCGGTCACAAAACTTATGCTTTTAAAAACAGAAATTATTGTCACTTAGGTACAGTTCCACAACTCACAGTTAACTCTTAACCGAGGTTCAACTTATTTCTCATCTCTTTCCAATTCTAGAATTAGAAAGAGACAATGAATAAGTTAAACCTCAGTTAAGAGTTAATCGTGAGTTGTGGAACTGGATCTTAATCTTTTTCGATCACTTATAACCTAAGGTCTCTTAAAGTAGAGTTGTGGACAGCATTACGTGCAATGACAATGAATTTTGGAACACAGTTTCTGTATTTCGTAGAAATTCTATTAAATATGAATTTTGTTAAAAATAAATGTATTATACGTAAACAAATGATATGTCATTTCGTGTACCACTCTGTAAATATCAATCATAATGATCATTAAAATATATTTCTATAACACACATTTAATTATATTTTATTGGGGCAGCTTCTTTCGCGTGACTTCGCAAAATATCGCAAGATATAAGGCTTCCTTCCAAAGCCTTACGTGCGCAAAACTTCTCCGCTAAAAATTGCGGACAGGTGAAATTGCTGTCCCAAAATCCCGACGGTCAGGATGTCAAGACTGCAACGATCAGTTGCTTTCTTATACACAACGGTGTAGCGGTATTCTTGTAAAGTGACAAGTCGCCTCGTCTCAATTAGTTATTGGACAACATGAATGTAATCTCTCTCATTATCTCACATAACATCGGTGTCTGTCTTCGAGAGAAAGACAGAAACTTCTGCAGATCTCGGAATAGTCACGGTAAACGACATCAGAGTTAAACTAGACGATTTGATTTGGATAAAATGTGTGTGTGTGCGTTCCGACAAAGCGGATGTTGAAGGTGGCGGAGACAATGCTTTCTCACCGAGTTCACGAACGAAAACACGCTCTCGCCGCGCCGGTAAAAGTACCTGTATACCTGTGTATCTGTTCGGCAGATATCATGGGATCAGAATAAACGGCGAAGAAAGGCGAATGTATCAAGGCTGGATCGGTGAGAATCGATTCTATCGGTCGTTCGATCCGCTGCCAGAAGAACGAAGAAATTGCCAGACGCATAAAAGATTTCTTCGTGTTTGTTCTCGTCGCTTGGCTGGAAAACAATCAAAATGATCGATGCATCACTCGTATATCGCGGTACCGTTCGCCGACCGATGTATTCGCCGGGGACGACCTTATCGGTTTCGGCATGCCGTTTTCTTCCGGCGATCCGTTTCCGGCAGCTTCGATTTATTAGGGTCGCGTGATTTGCGTTTGACCTTTGCAGTGGGAAGAAACCAAAACAAATGTGCAGTTGATTTTTGCGAATAATATTAAGTGAGGAATTACAAGATTTAACTTTAAAAATCGAATTTTTTCCTATTAAATATATCCTCTGATATTTTAACACGTTTTATATTTTAGAAATATATTTTATCACTTCCCCCCTCCCTCCCTCCTCGTAATTCCTTACATACGTATGTATCACATCCAAACTTTAAGATATCCTTTTTATTCTTGGAGACATGTCTGCTCGATATCTCTACTGGATAATATTTCACATTACGTGGGGATTTTTATGGATGATTTTTTGTATCACGCTCTTGTATACCGTTGTCGCGTCGGTCAGCGCCGAAAATCGAGGTCAGCATGTGTGATTGCGAATGCACACGTGAAAAATCCGAAGAAACCAGTCAACGACCGGTCCGGTAGCTTTTATCTACCTGCCGGTATCGCTCGTATCACGCGACGATGCGCGATGCACGATGAAAAGTACGAGGGCTCGCCGACCGCGGTCGCTCGGCATCGCCACCGTCGCCGACGACTCCTCTTCCGGAATGGCGAGGAGTGTAGCGCGTGTACAGTTAGGCACGAGTCAACGATCTTGGCATGGCGCCTTATTTCGTTTAGGCGAAACTAGATTCAAAAAGAGTCGAGGAAACGTCCGTCGCCTGAATCTTAAATATTTCGAACGGTATGTTTCCCTGTGGAGGTTGACCATGAAGTTCCTATCTCCGGAAAAATTCACTTCCGGTCCTACGATAACAGAATTTTGCGTGTCAAATTGATCGAATGATTCTCGCTATATATTATATCATTATATGTATAAAACTTGAATGAAAAAAAATATAATATTGTTATTATAAAATTTAAGTATAATTTTCATTAATGAGGATATCAAGATATAATAATTGTGTAGTTTTTTTTAAGAATACAGGATTTTTCGCGAAAATAAATAATGGAACATTATTTATTATTAGTTGACTGTTTGAAAAATTTGAGCGAAATCGTAATAATTAAAAAAAAAAACTGAAATTAGTTCCATTTGTTACTTCCAACAGTTCTTTTGAACAGAAGACTTTCACTCAATCACAACTAAAAAATGAAAACAAATGAAAACAAAAAACAGTAATCAACTATCAAAGGAGAATTGAATCTACAATTGAAAAATAAAATACACAATATCCAAAGAAAAAAATATTATTTTGCTTGAAATTAGTGCAAAACTTTAATTTCAAATTCTCAAGCAAAATTTCATTCGAATATGTTCTCGCTAAAAAATTCCTTCTTGAATTTCATTAAAGACAATAATCTAATTAATCAAAAGTTCACTTTTTGAGACACTGCTTTTGATGGACAATTATCAATGTCTTGTACACGTTTAGTAGAAAAAGTATCTTTGCAACTGTACATTTTTAAATACAATTTGGTTTTTAATACAATTTATATGTATATATTTAAATTCAGTGAGAGGAATTAAGAGACAAAATCAATCATATTAAAAAATATCACAACAATAAAGCTTTTTCTGCTGAACGCAATAATTGCGTTTTTTATTTCCCCACCAAATGAGAATGGATTGAAATGAATGAAATGGATTCAGATTTTCAGAAATATTGATTCACGAATGTTAAAATGAATGTTTTTCAATCTTGAATGCATTTTTATTCATTTATAGGAATTACATGGAGCATATCTCTATGCTTTTCAATCTAAAAATAATATTAGCTTTTTCTGTGCAAAACAACACAATTACGAATAGAGTTCAATTCAAAATTTTGAATAGGAAATGCAGTTTTTCAATTGCATTCAATTGAATGTAATTGAATTCAATTAAATAAAAAAAAAAGTATTCGCTATTTAAAATACGCATTCGGATAGAAAAAAATTTTAATCCCTTTTAATTCTCGTTTACTGAGTCGGTTTATAAAAAGGACGTTCAGGATCAGAAAAAGGAATCGCGAATTGCTGCTTTACAACTTTTTCCTACATGCTGAGGTAGCGTTTCATGGATTAGGATTCATTGAAGGAGTACCGTTGTAAAAGAGCCGAAAGACCAAGCGCAAGTCCCCTTCTGCAGAGTATACAGGTAAAGGCATACCGCACACTTCGCGCCCGGTGATAGCGCTGCATTCTGGGTCGCATGCTTCTCGAGACGCACGCTCGTTGACGCTGTCGGGGCTGTGGGATCATGAAACACTGATAAATCCCAGTAGTAAATTCCTCATGAAACATGATCCCTTGAAGATATCTAATAAATGCACCTTCAAGGATCCCTCACTCCTCCTCCGTTTGCAACTAGAGAATAAACGGATATAACGATCAGCACTTGGTCGCTCATTATATACATATTTATAGGAAATTACACTGGAAAATTTTTAAGATATTCTGTATTGCATACATATATTAGGTATGGGAAAAAGTTCGTGGCGTTTTTTTAATGCCATCTAACGGGAAAAACGCCACGAACTTTTTCCCACACCTAATAAATATCCTTAGAATATCTCCAAAATGTACATATTTCCGAAAGAAGTTGATGAAATAAAAAGACCTGCAAATTCTCAGGCTCTGACTAGAAAAATATCTTACGTAAAATTCCTTTATTCAAATTCATTTTTTTTTATTCTTATGTGATTAGTAATAAATCACAATAAATCACATTTCGCTCTCGACGAAGTGTATCTTTAATGTGATATCGTATCTTCACAAGTGTAATGTAAATGTCATTTCGCGGTTCATTAGGATTCCGCATTTATCTCGCTTAGAATACGTCTCGATTCTGGATGTCGTAATCATTCGTTAGATGAACGTTGACTCACGTGTCTGTGCGGTTGGTGAAATGAGAATGTCGGTGATAATTAGCCAATTAAGTGTAGACTATGTGCGCCATTTGGTGAAACATTTCTTCTCATAATTGGTAAAGGCAATTTGCGAACTCATAATGTTTCGAGGAGAAAATATTTTTTAAGTGAAAATTAATAAATTTTCGCAAACAAAAATGAAGAATACAAGTTTTTTTGCTAATGTAGAAGAATAACAAAATTTCAAGTAAATAAAAACCTATATTCATGATTTACAATACAATTTTATAGTTTGTAACGTGCGTTTATATCATTTTTATATTCTATCACGATTGTTTTTTTTCATTGCAGTCGAAACTTATCTGAGCCCCGTAGAGACACATTGCATGAATATTGATTATTTCATTCCCGATGAAGAAAATCAAACCAGAGGCTTCTCTGACGATGCCATGACACGATTACGTAAGTATAGCGCGATCAAATTTCTTAATATACTTGGTGTATATTATAATTGAAAAAATTTAAGTTGAATGTAAAAAAAAATTTAAATATCAAATTTCTAAGTAGTACTTAATTTATTAGATGTACAAATTAATTCGGTGTCTTTTGTTCAAAATTATCACAGTTTCGCACTAAGACAAGTACTTAATATTCGAAATAATATCTCCATTATTTTTGATGACTTTACTCCTTTCGGGCAACTGATGAATACCCTCGCGAAAGAAATTTGGCGGTTTTGACTCGATAAATGAAGTCTCCGATAAAGGCATTGAATTAATTTGTATACCTAATATACAGGGTGTAACTGAAATAACGCCCACTAATCATACAATTCATAATCATTATTCTTAATAAAAAACTTAATCGAAAAGTCCTCTATCATTTTACAATTTTCGCAATAATTAACGAGATATTAATTTCCAAATATTGCCGAATAAATGGATAAAAGCGATGTATAAGACAATTTTAAGATCTTATCAATATTAAGATAATATCTTTCCGTGTTCTTTATGAAATATTTTGAAGATTTTTCTTAAAGACCTCTTAAAAATATCTTACAGCTATCTTATACGTCGATTTTAGACATTTTATTCATTGGGTAATTGAAAAAAATAATGCGAAAATGAAATTACAAAATGATAGAGGATTTTTTATTAGGAATAGTACTATCTGATTAGTTAACGTTATTTCAGTTACACTCTGTATATGTACGAATATTTCATACATTTATGTATATTATGTATATATGCTAAAAGGCGTCGTAAAAATTAATCCTGTGAGACGTTAGGGAGTTTTTGCAATTCCATTTATCCAGATACGGTGAACGCTAAGATCAGATTATCTTCTTCTTAACAACTAATTAGGAAAAAGATAAACGTGACCACGTTGTTGCAAAAATTTCTTAATATCTTTTATTCCCCCGTTTCTACTAATGCAGATTAATCTTGGTTCAATTTACTCTTCATTTTCTTTCAGTTCTAAGAATTAGAAAAAAGAGTAAATTGAACCGAGTTTAATGTTAATCTATATTAACAGAAACAAACATTGTGGATATAAATAATATTATAGACGTTTTAAAATTCACATTGCTATGCAGGAATGGAAAGTTTACTAACGATTGACTTGGCAACGTATAAACGACTTGGAGGAAAAACACACACAACACATATATAGCTTCATAAAAACATTCATTTCATCAAACTTCATAAATTTTTCATTAATATAGAAACATCATTAATATAGAAAAGACGCAATGCACGAATAACGTAACTGCACGTTAAAATTTGTTATTATTATCGCAGATATGGGAAGATCCGTGATAGCTCTATTCATGGTCGCCTTTCTTGCGATATTTTCGGCATTCTGGACAGGAGTAGTGGGCTGCTGGAGAAGATCAGCAGGGAACATCACGGCTACAGCAATTCTAATGTTATTCGCCTGTCAGTATACTTCCCGAGATGTTTTTTCAGAGTTTATCCAACGTTCTCTTTTGTTTTTCGGAATTAAATATTCATAAACGGACACTTTCGAATATTGCATGAGATTGTTTATGAAGAACATTTTTTATTGGAAACGATACGATGGTATTTCGAATAAAAATTCGCAAATAAAATTTATAGACAGCGATCGTTTGAAAAGATTGAATCGTAAATTCGCGAGCATGTCTAAAATTCAGGAAACTTTTTATAACGTATATATAATATGATATTACTGAAATATATCTATTTATATGCATTTATCGTGCAGGTCTACTGAGTGCTGGCGGTATGGGCCTCTGGCATGGCGTCGAGTATTATGAAAAAGAAAAAATCGTCGGAGAGGAATATTATCAGCAATGGAGCAACGTAAGTACTCAATTTTATTTTCTTTCGAAACTAAATGTGAATAATAAAAGATATTTCAATTTTTAACGTTTTAGTGTTTTAAATCGAAATACATAGTGTTTTGTTTATTGAAAAAAATGTAAAATTAAAACATCTTTAAATATTTAAAAAATGGAGATAAGAATGAAACATTTTAATATTTTAAAATTAAATACTTCTTTTTTTAGTGCAATATCGAAATGCTCTATAAAATGTTAAAAATTATCATTAATTATTATCAATCGCACCAAAAGACTAGGAATCTATATGATGTTAATACAATATTATTAACTGAAATTGCTTCAGCTTTCACTTCGTCTCTAAGTCATTTAAATTATTTATGTACACATGAATATTTAAATGTCATCTGCAATTGATCTATTAAGCAAAACACATAAAAATTGTTTTCAAATATTATAATTTTTTAAATGAAATCACTCACTGTCGAGCACATTTTCTTGTATACAGAATCAAAAAATTCCCTATGATGCAATTGAAGTGGATTGCTAGTTAATCTTGTAGAACATAGTAATCACACTAAATACAATGGAGATACAGAGATAAATTTCGCTTATCTCGCATCAGAGAAAGATTTTTCCAGATCTGATCGAACCAAGAATTTCCACGTGACCAAGGTGGCAGATGTAATCGTATGCAGCAGATTTTGATGAAATTTTGCCCACAGGTTTTAAGGGACAATACGGCGCAATGGTACGATTGGTCGTTTTACCTCGCCTGGCTGGGGGTAGCTACGTGTCTGGGCACAATGACGCTATTCCTGATCGCAGCATCCTGCCTGAGAAGGGAGCGTGCTCGCGAGCAGGCTCAGAACGTTCAGTACATCATGCCAGGTGACACGATAATCATGAAACGGCCAAACTAACTCGTCCCGTATTTTTTCTTTTTGTTTGTTATGTACGCCCGACGCGGCACGGCACGGCACGGCACATGGGGGCAAAACTGTCTAGGTCCTGAAAGACAACTCGCTAATCTCGTACGACTGGTCGTACGTGGTCGCTTGGGTCGGCGTCGGTTGGTCGTTGGTCAGCGCGATCTTGTTTAGCGCCGCGGCGATTTGCTTGAGGGGCGAGAGAATGCGCGAGGAGGCGATGAACATGCAGTATCTCATGCCTGGTACATATTTAACACCTATTGCTTTTGCCGACTTATATGGGCACGTGATAATATCCGACTGATATGCTATTATCCGGCGATATTATTCTTGGAGAAGATCTTCATTTTAAATAAAAAGTTGAGGTTTTTAAAAAAATTATTAACATTTTATTTTTTTAATTTGGAGTAAAAGTGATCTAAGAACTTTGGA